AAATAATAATTGTAACTGTTTTTATTGTACATAATAGGAATATTGCTATATCATTGTATTCTCTTTGTTTGATTGGACTGGTTGAAATTCATAGAAATCCCTAATCAAGGTATCATTATTTAACAAAACATATATTTATTAAATATCACAAGTAATAACAATACATCAATATGACTGTCAGACAGATCTTGAAACAATTTAATAAAGGGCTTTAAAAGCCCAGGCCACATACAAAAATAGTAGTCTATGCTTTGATAATGAGCTGACAGATAGGGGAATTTTGTAAAGGGTGGCTTAGCCTGTCTGTTGTGATTACATGTCTAAAAAGTACATCATGGTATATTTTAGCCACCATAGAATTTATCTAGAAAAAATATAGCAATTTTTATTTGTACAAAAATATAGAAATAGTACAATGTATGATTAGTAAAATGTTCACTATACATGTACAAATAATGAAACTATTAACAAATGTCGGTACAGCCGCGGTACGGTATTTAGAGGGTCACGGGTTCGAGTCCATGTCAGGATTCACTTTTTTTCTCAGCCTGTGACTGATATAACATTTGTATAGCCCAGGTAGAAATTAAATCACAATGCTAATTAAGTAACCCTGGGAAATTCGAAGAAATATTTGCATACACAGTAGGTTTATAACGATTCAGTATTTTAACAAGTAAAACGTGTAAGCGGCCGAATAGCTCGGAGGAACTCAAGAGCCGCGGAATGGTATTCCGAGTGTCAGGGGTTCGAGTCTCTGCCAGGCTGTTACATATCAATATAAATCTGTCAAGAAAAATAGGGAGGAACTGTCTAAAATAATTATCACCCTAAATAGGATTCGGATTGGGTTCGGAAGTCTTTGATGAAAAGTCAGAAGATGAACTTGTAAAGGGGGTGGGGTGCGAGTCTGATTACCATCATTTGATGTCTGACGAACTTCATATCTAATATATATTGGTACGCATATAAACACGTGTTTGCTGAATTTAATATCAAAAATGTTGCAATTAATTAGTAACTAAATCTTATATGCGTATGTAAACTAGGATTAAAACTAATTAATCTTCGGCGTAAAGCATGTAGAAATCTGACCAGTATTCACCGCGAGGTCACAAACTTTAAAACTTAAATGTAAACATCACAATAATACTTCTTTATATAATATTTCTATTCTTTGACAGGGACACAGAACATCTCTTACATGTTTAAGAAACAAGAAATTTACATAATATATCTATCTAAGATATTCTTTTACTTCTGAATAGTAACAGACGCAAAACACGGTACTTAGACGAACGCAGACGCACGCTAAATAAGAAACGCACGCTTTCAGACGCACGATAAACGAAAAACGATACACGGAAAACGAAAAACGTTACACGCTTGAAAACGATACACGCTTGAGAAAGCGTTTCAGCAAACGCACGTTGCACGCTATACGCACGCACGTTACACGAAAAACGGACGCACGAAAAACGCTATTTTTGACAACCGAAACGTTCACCCTACTGTAGATGAAAGGCCGACACGCAGCATAACAATACTTATCTATTTTTTTAACTGAATCTTTCTGGGACAATCCTCTAGCTTGAACCCACGACATCTGGGGCCCTTTGACATGAATAATGGTCGTCACTTAATAATGCCAAATATTTGTAAATTCAGCGCTTTTTTCTTCAATCAGATGATTATCATCTAACATCATTTAAACTTTATAAATATCAAGTTTAGCTGTACTAAGAATGAAAAATAAAAATTTCTTAGGCACTCTATTCAAGTGTTTAGCAAGATCCAAAGCAAACAGTGACGTTATTTATGTCCATTTCTGATTGTTAAAACTTTGCACGTTTTCAAAGAGACATTTTTATTTTAAGAACAATATAAACAACAAATAGTTCAATATTTATTATGTAGCTCGCGCAATTCACATGACTTACAACTGATCATTCTAATTATGGCAGTCTTTGATCTTTGTTAACAATGTCGTTCCATGACACATATATAATCACCTGCTGATAATAATATTTAATCAAACAATATATCAAATATTTATTCTTTACATAACAGTTACTTTGTTTGTGGAAACTAATGGTTTGATACGCGCATAATGTTCTTTTTTTCTCTTTTATTATCATTATTATTATTATTTATAAACGAAATATTGAGAAATATTGATGAAACAAAATGCGTTTTTTTTCCGTATTTTCACTGTAGAAAATTATTTTTCATTGCAGTGAAAAACATGTTTTCCGTATTTTAAACTGGTGACTTGCCGGACTACTTTCTACTTCTTTCTGCTAATGCACAAAAATAAAGGAGAAGTCTCAAGAAATTTAAGGTCAAAAAAGAGAAATTGTATATAAAAAATAGTAAATTCAAGTCTTCTATGAATACAGGATTTATTTTCATCTTGTGAAATAAAAATTGCCATAGAATACCACCAACTCAATAAAAATAAATACTGTACATATATAAATAAACTTGAATATCCTTTTTTATTATTATTTCCTTTTATTATCATTATTTGCAGTATTTAAAGCCTAATTCATTCATATGTATTTACTAAGACAACATTTGTCAGGATATGATTTGCGAAACTTTCATTTTAAGTTTTAAATCACAAAAAAAGAATAATTGTAGCAGTCGGGTAAATTCAAAACGAATCAATATGACGCCTAACACTTGAAAACTTTTATGCATTTACTCAGAAAATGGAATTGTTTGTTTAGACTTGAATGGCGAAATTTCCTGGAACATCAAAGATATGAATATAGCTGAAGGAACAATTAGTGCTAATCTCTGTTTGACAGTTACAGTGTATTTTAAAAAGTGATTTTACAAAATGACAAAAAATCACTTTTGTTAAATATTGTGAATATAAAAAGATCGTCCTACACAAGTGAAGCCGAGAAGTCGCCATGAAACTCTCTTATGTTGGTGCGAAGCAACCCCCACCCCACCCCAAACAAAAAAACAAACAGAAAAAACAACAACAACAACAACAAAACTGCAAAACAAAAGCAACAGGTACACGCACACAAATGCACAACATATTGGTATTTTGATTAATCAACAAAGCAGAGAGCAAGTATATCTAAAAGTTCACATAACGTTAAGATGTAATAAAATATTATTAAATAAATGATTTCATTAAAGTGGATTGGTCTGCAATGGGCACATTTTCCACACGTATTCTATATATTGATGAAATAATAAAAACAAATTGTTTGCACTTATTTACATTAGATATCTATTAAATATTTCTTGAGAAGAAAAACGCAAAATTTTGATAAATTTTAATTGATTCAGTATTGACATTGAAATAATGAAATAATAATGTTTTGTTTTATCTGCTTTATTATACTGCACGTTTGTAACGCCGCTTTTCATTGGATAATCGTGGCGTTTATATAAATACACGAATGCTGTCAATTTATGAAGTTATTTCATGTTGTTCTCAAATAAAGAAAGTCTATTGTATTATAAATTCGTTATAAAGATTTTTTGACATAAATTTACATGGTCGTATATAAACGGTTGCTTGCATGCTTAACCCAAGCCTCTTTGCTGGGCAGAAACGTTAATTCATTTATTATACCATTTTCGAAGCAGCCGGGTTTATGTTGTTTAACTAAAGACAGTCTGTGCGAAAGTCTGTCGGTCCTCGGTCCTGGCTGAATAAAACTCGTGCGGTCCGAGAAAATTTCCTTTCTGTCAGTCCTCATGTCCGAATAAAATTTCAAAAAGTTAAAAATATCAATGACCTGATTGATAAGTTCCCGGTGATGCAAAGAATTTATTAAAGAAGATATTGACCAACCTTAGATCTATTTTGTACATGTCAAATAAATACCAGTCAACTCTGTCTTCAAAAAGTTTCATCAACAACGGTAAATTTTGCCGTAAATTACAGATTTGAAAATTTTGTTTTATGATGCTTGTTGAAATAGCCGATTAGTAACAATCTTAAAATAATCAAAAAATATTTAATCTAATATAATCAAAATCAACAACGAGTAGAATTGTGAATGTTTCTGCAGGAAACAGACAAATTTTCAATTGTCACATATTTTCGCGATGCCGCTTTTTTATAATTAAAAACATCGTAACCAAACGGAAACTTTGTTTTGTTAAAATGTGTGTAATAACACTTAAATGTAGTTTAAGAATTAAAATTACTAAAGATATTGTTCACATAAGTTGAGATGGAGGTATTTAACCAGTATGTGTTTGTCACATACAATGAATATTTTCTTATGGGAGGGGGGTGTGTGGAGTGAATCTGGAAGAAAACAGCATAATGGTCTAATGATGTAGGGTTTTTTAGATTATATTTCAAATCTTTTCAATCACTTTTATGGTACAGTGTATTCCATTTGGGACATACTACCATTTTCCTGAATAAGCTTTTTCTCTGTTCAAACTCCAACTTTTCAAAACCTAGCTTACTCCACTAATATACATCATATTCGTCAACTGCATAAGTGCAGTAAAGATGGCTTAACATATTCAAAGTGCTCTGTGCTCCTACTTTTCTGTGCTTGGGAGTCCAAGGACTCCTCCTTTGAAAATCCTAGTGAGCACCCTGCTTAAGTTATTTCAATTGGTCAGCATCTAATTATGTTTCTATATGGATGGTCTCACTAATTTAAAGAAAGACAATCATTTTTGCATTCAACCGTGTTAATATAACATAATGCTTGAAATGTCTGGGCCGGAAAAATATCATCCGGGCCGGAAATAAACCTAAGGGTCTCGGTCCTTGTGGCCTGAAAAAAAAATTGACTTTCGCATAGACTGCTAAAGAACCGTGCTTTTAGACATGATGTCATAACCACGACCATAGCGTCATGTTAATACTAGTTAAAGTGCAGGACACGGGTTCGAAACTAACCACTGTGCATAAGTTTAAGGAATAAAACCGAGCTAAGAGGCAGTATAAATCTTAACTAGATTGTTGGTGTTGCAAATAGATAAATTATTAACAATTTTTGCAGGTGTCAATGCAGCTTATAGCCCAGCAACAGAGACGGACATAAGACGAAGTATAATCAACAATGCATCATACGACCCTGTATCACGACCTGAAACCCTGACACACATTAAAGCGGGGCTTAACATATTTGCCATTGATGAGCTGGTAAGTTGGAATAGACACACATGTGTGGCTTGCATAAAAATATGAAAATTCAGCATTTAATTGGCATAAAGCTTCACTACTAGCTTTATAAACATTATTGGATCGTTGATATTTTTTAAGAAAATTTCTCTAAAGAAACTATTTGACCAAAGATTTAAATTCCATGTTTAATTTTGAATACTGCTTAAGCCGGTGCTAGGGGGCGTGGACGGTTACTTGCACTTTCCAATACCGTCCAAGAACAGGCTTTATTAAACCGAGCCTGCAACATTTCCAATGTTGTCGTTTTGTGCGTTCTTTAGGGATCTATTATTTCTCTCTATGACATCAACGGACAATTAACATGTATATGTCTTAACTTTGTAACAAAAACATCTCTTTAAGCTATACAATGTAATATTTATGTAACAAGGTATTCAGCATTTACTAGAAGGATAGTTTAACTCCATTGATTATAGTTTTTATTTTGTAGTAGATTGTCCTACTTATTGTCGTAAAATTCCCATCACGCGAATGTTACCAATATTTTTCTCTATTATGGCATTACTTCTATTCAACAAAACGTTTGACAACATTTTTTGTAACAAAAAAAGAGCAATATAACAAATATACACACATATACGAATACATTGTTTGTAGCATAGAAAGTCTATGTAATGTACTCTACATGAATATTGTATCTAATCAGAATAAAAATATTCCGCTACAATTTAATTAGGTTAGGAAAGGCCACCTCGCTGTCAGTAAATACACTGTTTTTTTTTTATTTCATTCTCACAATATAAACAATAATTTTACAATCCACGGACAGCGAATATATAACTTTATACACTTTAATTGTCACCAGTTAGCTAATATATTAAATAATATTATGTATTTACAGAATTTGAGAGAACAAAAACTTACTTTGGCAGGCTGGATGACTTTTGTAAGTAGACAATTTTAATTATTTTTTTTCATACCAATTAATGTATCTTGCTCACGCCCTTTCTTTCTTCAACATTCAAAACAAAAAAGAATATGTAATATCTATGCCTTTTTTTATTTACTATTTAAGTGCTTAAAAAGCGTTTTATATTATAAATGGTTGATTAAAAAAGAGTAGAAAATGGCACATATTCCTTACAACAATTATTGCTCGCTATTGATTCAGTAATATCAATGTTAAACTAGAGGTCAGAGCGTTGCAAGTTGCACCGTCGTTACACTTACCAAAATGAACAATTAAGTCATTCGAAAAGAGCATTTACCAGTGGTCGTATGCGCGCAATAATCGGTGGTTACCTTTAAAATGAAATCTCTGTTCTCTTGCACTTTCATAAAAAAGAAGAAGAAAACACATTTTTCTAGAGAATTTAGGGTTTCCGCTGAAGACAACTTAACTATAAATTACTGTATTTAGAAAGATTAGGAGTAATAAAGAGTAAATCGTTGGAATTATATAGTTAAAGATGATAACTTTAATTGAGGATTAAATTCATATATGAGTAAGTAAATAAGTATCTGATTTAAATGACCATTAACTATTTGTAAATTATATCAAGCCTTTCGCTAATTATGTGATTTACTTTAACGGCTGAACAATTAACAGTATGAATTTGTTTTGTATGTTGAAACGATTTTATTGTTAAACACTCAAGAAACAATCGAACAATTCGAAATAACGATTAAATCATAACCTACATTTTCAGCCAATGAATCGCTGAAATGTAATTAAAAATTATTCCAATTAATCATCACGATTTCTGTAACAATGTCCATATTATGAGTAACTGCAACTTTGATTTACTCTGCTTCACCGTAATCGGTAGGTTTTACTTACCTATTACAAATATTTTTTGAGCTGTGACATTGTATAAAAGCCAAATGATTATTATGTCAGGAATGGGAGGACACTCGTATAATGTGGAATCAGACGGAGCACAATGATCTGAAATATATCTTCTTTAAGCCGGAGAATATCTGGAAACCAGAACTTATCATTGATAATGCGTAAGTTTTTCTCCTTTTTTCCATTAATGATGTTTAAGAGATCTTCTACATGTGTATTAAATAACGCTGGAACCGTTTAGTTTCTTGTTGAATATATATATATGTCCGTACTTTACGGACAAAACGGGCTCAAAAAAGCTTAAACTAACGAAACTCTTAGAAAACTTTGCCAAACATGATCTTAAGACATTAATTTTACTAAAGTTCTTTTAAACCAAGAATCATTTGGCTGTACAGATAACTTAATGGGCAGGCCAAAATATTTTGTTCTTATTGCACAATATTGCTGTTCGAAATATATAAGAAATGTCCGTAGTTTGATATAAAAAAAACCTTGGATGTCATAATGAACTCCTGTATGTTACACTACTGGTTGAATGATAAAAGAAAAATTCAAAATACTGAAATGTTGCTTGTTCCAAGTCATTAAATAATTTATCACAATTGAGCAATCTTCAGCAAAAAATAACATTTGAAATTACATAATGCAGACTTCAGGATCTGGAAATTATAGAAAGTCAGGCTCTACTTCTGCGTTTACGATATGACGGCATTGTAGATTGGGAACCACCTAGGCTATTTGTGACACATTGTGAGGTTGGTGAACACATATTGTTGAAAATAATTTTTATGAAATCAAAATTATTGATATCAAATACCATCAAAACTACCCGTACTTGTAGTGTATTTTTTATATTATTGAATAAATAAAGTGGTTCAATAAATTTGACCTTGTTCCTACAAATTAGATTTAGTATTTGATGGGTTGAGACACGTGATCCAATGGTTACAGTGCCCGATCACTAGGAAGACGTCACAAACTTCCCGTTAATAGACTTTTTTACAATACGATACTTCCAAAGAAAAAAAAAACGGAAGTGCACATTATGCGTAGGACAAAAACGTTATAACAAAAGAAAACATTTTATAATAGTCTTATATCTTTATAATAACAATTTTATATCTTTATAATATCATTTTAAAACCAACAGATAAAAAGGTGTCTGAAACATAATGATTTCATTATATTGTTGTTTTTTCGTTGTTTTTTTATAGTTTGTTCTGAAAACAACGTTGATAGCGTGGTTGGAACTTACAACAATAAAACGCAAGTGCTATGAAATGTTATTGACTTCATGTAACTCAAACAATTACTGATTATGGCGCGAAAATTCACAACTCACATAGGAAGTTAAATTTTGAAATGGTTTTTTTCACTAGATCGACATAACATTTTACCCGTATGACACTCAGAAGTGTGCTGTAGAATTGTTAAGCTGGTCATATACAATAGATGAAGTCATACTGGATCATCTTTATGAAGAAATCAACCTTGAGGATTTTCAGTAAGTACGATGATTTTTTCCTGTAAGTATAACTTTATTTTCAGTAAGTATGAATAAGTTTCCAGTAACTAGTTTGAAGATATTTCCAGTAAGTACGAATATATTTTCAATAACTATGAAGATATTTCCAGAGCGTACGAACGTCAAGATATTTTCAGTAAATATGAAGATATTTCAAGTAAGTATTAATAATGATGGTGTATATCTATTTATGCCAAAATATTTTTGGCATACGTTTTTAACATTTGTTATTCCTTAAATTTGTAAATTTTCATAAAATGTAATTTTTGCGTTTTATTCTAAATGGCATATTTCTCGATTCAAATAGCATTATTTTTTAAAATTTAATATTGTTCAAAGTTACATACAAACTTGTATTACTTGTTTGTTTGCGAAGCGTCCAAGTAGCCGTTGAACGTCATACGTCAGCCTCTTAACTTGTGTTTTTTGTTCTCGCTTTTCAATGATAACAGTGGAAAATAATTATTGCTGTTACTATATTATAAGACATTTAATAAAAAAAGAAAAATTGTTTCACTCAAAAACTAATATCCTCTACTTTTTTTCTTTTAGAAATCAAAATTATTGGTGGATTATGAAAGAACAAATTAAATTATACAAAATACACCCTTTGAAAAAAAATTATTTTGAACTTTTAACATAAATTGATTTTTCATCCCTGTTTTCAGAGAGCACGGAGAATGGAAGGTTTTATTCACGGAGATTGAAGACAGAAATCTGACCGAGCATTTACCAGACGGAACACTTAGAGTCTATCCTCAACTCAACTTCTGGATTGCACTACGTTTGTTATCTCTTTATTGTTTCTTAATCCTTACCCTTAATTTCTTAAATGGATTTGTCCATCTCTTAAGCTGACAACGCCAAACTGAAGCAATTAATTAAGCTAAAGTATAATAATAAATAAGTCTAACCAATGATCACGATTTCGAAAATACCATGTTGGACCATGATCTGCATTTAATATCAACATTTTGTCCGTACGTCGTGTCAATGCTGTTATAGTTCATGGTCAAAAGGGTTCATTGGTTCCAATACGCTATTGTGTTGACAATTGAATACTGCATAAACCGTTGTTGATGGAGGGTGAGAGATGTTGCACATTATCTATCATGTACAGACTCGCAGTCTGAATAAATTCTAGTTTGCATTTTTACCTTTGCAACGTTTCGATTGATCTTTCCATATATTAGAATAGTTTTGAATTTCCTTCCCCTCGCACGATCTATAAAAACGACATCTTATCAAAACAAATACTTTCCCCGATGAACCTTTGTCAAATTAACGCATTGATAATATTCCCAAATTTAATATATTCTATTTACAAATAGTCATAGATTATAATGGTGTTTTAAAAGCATAATGGAGATACGTATATATGTTGTTTTAAGGTTAATATTTAAATACGCAACTGGAAAAGCTTGTTTTGTTATTCTTAGAAAAATGAAAATGTTCATTTATTGTAAAGAATGCCTGATTAGAAATGTTTGCCGGGGCCTCCAATAAAAGAAACAATATTCATGTTATTTGACATACAAATATGACAGTTCACTATGTAACTAATATATTATTATAAAATCTTCAATTTTACAGAGCGAAGAACTGGATTTTACAATCTAAACGTGGTCATGCCGATTGTTATGACGTCATTCTTTGTCGTGCTGGTATTCCTGGTTCCCCTTGATTCTGGGGAGAAAATCACCTACATTCTTACAGAGTTCCTGGCCCTTCTTCTGCTGTTGACTATCGTAGTTCCTCCAACCTCGATTACTGTTTCAGTTCTAGGTAAATATTCGTTTGACTTAACCAGCCCGAATTGAATTGTTCGTACAAAAATGCATACCTCGGCTTTCCAAAATTATAATTTTTTGCTTACAAATAAAATTAAATGGACAACAAAATGGACAACATAAGTGAGCAACTCTTTATAAAAATTCTAGAAACAATTAGGAAAGAAACTACTTATGTTTGTTTCTACAAGAACACTAAGGTTACAAAATATATTTGTATCATGTAATTGGGATTTGAATTCATGCTTAGTTCTTCAAAATTATTCAGAAAGTCACCAAAAGGCAAATTATTGAAATTTTTCTTTTACTTTTAAAGGTTTTTGAAAGAAAACGAAATTCCCGTTGGAATAAATGATAATGTTGGTAAAAAATCCAATGGAAATTTCGGTAAGTCCACTCGGACTTGATAAATCCGGGCGGATTAAAGAAAAATTCGCCCGAACAAACTTTAAAAAGTAACAATTTCTATTTAAAAAAAATAAATGTGTATTTATATATGTAATCTTCAACAATAACTTTAATAACGTTTTTATATATGTAACATGTATTGATAATGATGAAACCTACTGTCATTAGATATTGAAATACAACGTATTCAATTATTTCAGCGTTATGGCTCGGTTTGGTTCTCATAGTGGCTGCTTGCGGTATTCTTTCAACAGTTGTTGTCTTGCACATCGCACACAGAGAAGGCGCACCAGTTAGGGGCACGAAGATGTTCGCCTTTGGACAGTTCATGGCGAGGCTGTTATGTTGGCAAATGACCACAATCGGAGCACGTGAGGTGGAGACACATAAACCAAAACGCATAACTGTCAAATCTTTCAAGCCCGATATTGCAAATAAAAGATTCGAAAAGAAGAATGTACAAAAGAATGATGAAAAGGACGTCACACATGCCCTTGAAAAGGTCTTAAAAGATTTGAAAGATGCAGAAGAAAGAGAAATTACATGGAAATTCATTGCAGTTGTGTTTGACAAATTCTGCTTCTACGCTTTCCTCCTCACCACTATCATAATGAACTTTACATTTGTCCTCGCACTTTCAGTGGGTGGGTCAGCTGCAGCCTCTAAACATTAAACGACTTAAGAAAATACAGTACCTTATTAACTTACAATACTGGTTTACACGTTATCACATAACTGTGTCACATGGACAATGCTACATATATCTACGTGGACTATGCTACACAATCCTGTCTAACTAATTAAATCTTTTCCCAAACGGAACTATTCGATATTTCTTCAGAAACTGATAGTGAGAAGTTTGACAGTAGACGTTTCATTGAAATGAAAAAATTATATGAGCCGCGTCACGACAAAACCAACGTAATGCGTTTGCAACCAGCATGGATCCAGACCAGCCTGCGAATCCGCGCAGTCTGATCAGGATCCATGCTGTTCGCTTACAAACCCTATAACAAGTAGAGAAACTGATCAGACTGCGCGGATGCGTAGGGTGGTCTGGATCCATGCTGGTCGCAAACGCACTATGTTGGTTTTGTCGTGATCATATTATAGATCTGGGTCTGTCTGTTCATGCGTCCGGATGCCCGGATGTATTGTGTTGATATTTCCGTTTTTTCTCTCTCCTCTTTCTTGACGTTTGTAAATGACGCATGAAAATGAATATGAAAATGACGTATAAAAATTATTATATAAAGGAATATGTAAATGATGCATGAAAATGAATAATAATTGACGCATAAAAATGAATAAGAAATGTCGCATATACAAAGACGCATATACAAAGAATATTTTAATCACGCATATAAAATTATTATGTAAATGGTGCATATAATATTGATATGTAAAAAAAATATGTAAACGACGTATGTAAATGAATAAGTAAATGAAACATAAAAATGAATAAGTAAATGAAATATAAAAATGAATTATAAGTAAATGAAACATAAAAATGAATATGTAAATGAAATATAAGAATGAATAAGTAAATGAAACATAAAAATGAATAAGTAAATGAAATATAAGAATGAATAAGTAAATGAAACATAAAAAATTAATAAATAAATGAAATATAAAAATGAATAAGTAAATGAAACATAAAAATGAATAAGTAAATGAAACATAAAAATGAATAAGTAAATGAAATATTAAAATGAATAAGTAAAACAGGGTCTTTAATTGACACATAATATAAATCCATGATATATATCCGTGATGGATATGACGTTTTTTAAAGGACGAAACTAATATTTGTTTAGTTGAAATCAGTCAGTTCTTGTCATAACAATTTTGTTATTTTTTAGTATGTATTTTTTTTCGTAGATTGATCATGTAAATATCGTTCAATTCTTTGTTCAAAGCGTGCAATAGAAACTTTTGCAATTACCGGTATATGATGTTTGTATATACAGTGAAACATGTGAACAAAGACCATCAAAGAAAGGTTTCAACTATAGCCGTTATATGCAAGTGAGCTTTATTTTGAGGTAACTTTTGTCTTTATAATCGATGAAAGGTTGTCAAAGAGTGGTCTTTTTACAGGGTGATCTTAATTCAGAAGTGGTCTTTAACACAGGTTTGCTGTATAATGAAATAAAATTTGGCTTTAGTATAGTAACCGATACTTTATTACTTCTACGAAGTGCACAGTTGTTTTGTAGCTGAAGAGTTGGTGATAAAATGTGCAATGTGTTTTGTGATTTTTACAGTTTACTTTAGTTTTTGTATTGTTTATTCTTGTCTTCAATAGATTTTGTACAATGCATTTAAAGATATATTATGGTTAATTTTGATATATGAAAATACCGATATTTGCTTTACACTCAGTCTCTTTTTTGGGAGTGATATTATTTGTATCATTCTACGCCTCAATTTCCAAACATGTACTTGTAACATTAATTCCTGAACTAAATTGAACCTTTTTTGTATGAATTCTTACTAATTTAATACACATGTAAGACAACACGAAAAGAAAACAAAATACCAAATGTAAGCATTCATTTAGCGAGATTGTTTATGCGCGACGAGAAAAACTTGCTAATATAAAAACTATGACGCACGTTCAAAGATTAGCTAAAATAGGTGATAGTTAAAGATGTTTTAATTACATGATTATTTAGAACTTTTTCATATTTGACAATTTGTTTAATTTGTTTACGAATGTTTTTTTTCTCGATGTACAAGTTTGAATTTCTGGTGTTAAACATTCGATGTGTATTTTTATGTTTGTTTGTTTGTTTGACTTTCCTCTATACCATGTTGTTTTATCTACAATAAATGTTATTGGTTCTGATTTTTGCGTTTGTAATTTATTATTATTATTATTATTATTATTATTGAACGTATTTATTTAAGCTTGATTGTGAAACAAGTTCTTGCAACTTATATTAATCACGTTCGAGTCCGCTTCCTGGAACTAACTAGTTCTGCAATATGTAGAAACATGCTCGTGACCAAAGTGGGGCTCGAACCCATCCCTGGGTTGGGAGTCAGGCACATTAACCACTTGGCCGCCACTCACATTTATAATCTGTTTGTGCACTGGTGATATTTAGAAACAAACCAGATTCGAAGCCTTTAAAATCAAGGAAATGTGCTCCATGTCATTACTTTAAATATATTATAACAAAACAGTGAATGATATAATGTGTACCGTACCGTCTGTGATAAATTATCTTGACTACTCAATTTAGATTGACTCCATTGAGGATTTTTGACATGAAAGGACAGAAAATATTTTTTGAGAATCTTGAAACATTTGATGCTTTCTTTGCTCTTTTGGCAATTAGTATATATATAGTGAATATATATTAGTATTGTGTATGGAAGTCAAAATACTACTTTGTTGACCCTTTACTACATGTGCCACATTACTTCACGTCTTGATCGCTGTTTCTTCAGTTATAAAACATCTTTATTGAAACAAACAAACAAACACATGTTTGACATTTCAAAACAATTAAAAGTCAAGGATTTTTTTAGGCATAAAGAGTCTTTAAGTAGATAAAACTTGTTCGTATTTTTGAACCTTATAATACCTTTCTTATCACGACATGTAGATAGTGTATGTAAATAGTACTACTCCACAACTGACGCTAAACATTTTGACAACAATGGCGTCTTTTTATGTATTTACATGTAAGTAAACTATGCTTTTGTTTGATTTGTATTTTAATATTTTGTTGTAGTTGTTGTTTTTCATCAGTACATCATTATCAGTTCCATTATCGGTACATGTTTAAACAACAACAACATCGTCTTCTTCTTCATAACCAGAACATCATCATCATCATCAAAACGCGAAATTTTGATAGAGTCGATAATGAAGATGATGATGCAGATTATAATTGTGATTTTGATGAAGGTGATGGTTATAGTGAGAATGATAATGATTTTAATGATCATAAAGAAGAAGACGACGACTACGACGACGACGATGATGATGATGATGATGATGATGATGATGATGATGATGATGATGATGATGATTATGATAAATGGATGTCAGGATTTGGATGATAATTTTTTAAATACAATGTATTTATTTATTCTCTAATATTTGATTTTTTAAATCGAGAACAAAATATATGAAAACATTTTATCACTTTTCACGATGACTGATGAATATTTCAGTTGTCCCGTTGTTTGCTATGATCGTGTTTGGTGTAGAAGCACAAACTTCATGTCAGGATCTAGACAGTGCCGCCTGTATAGCAATGGCCAAACAGAACAGTGCCCTCTGTACCGACCAGATGCTAGCTCAAAATGCTTGTCCCGCATATTGCAAATTGTGCCGTAAGTGAACAAAGCAGGGTAGTCAACCCACGTGACACAGAGTTCTCGTAAATAGTAAATAAAACGAGGACCGTCTTCCGTACCCTACGTACATCACAAGATGTCACGTGGTAAAGACACCTTGTTCTCTATAGCCTTGATATATTTTTCATGAACATTTTGTTTTGAATATTTTTATTTCTTTGTCGAAATATTCTTTAGCTCAACATATGTTATCATTTGAAAGTTACGAACTATTTTATTCATTTGATATCGTACATTATCTTTCACATGAAGCTTGACACAGACTAGAAACAGGCCGGTTGATCCGAGGTATATGCTGTTATTTTGATATTCTATAGAAACTATAAAAACAACTGTTATCAAAAAAAAAGAAAACCTGTTAATAATTCAAAGTAAATTTTTAGAAATATTATATATAACATTGCTACAAAATCATATTTACATTACAGCGTTAACGTGTTATAACTGTAACGTAACAATGCCTGACGTCAACCAATGTAACACCGTCTCGTGCGCAAATGGAGAGGTATCAGAAATATCAGAAATTTTAAGTTTTAAGTATACTTGCAATAGTGAAAATGAATATTCAGTAGATGGTTGATAAGTTGATTTACAATTTGATTTAATTTTGTTTAAAACGAGCACTTGTAGTACAGGGTGATACGGCAATAATTACAATTTTTGCCACACATCGTCAAAATATCTCAAACCTGACAGAAACGCCGTATCTAATGGATCTAACACTTATGAACGTATGACTTTTTTTGTAAATACTTCACTTACAAAGTCTTGAGGGTTAAACGGTTTGGAGGATTAGAGCATACTGAAAATGAAAATCATTGCCTTCGGGACGAAACAAAACGCTGTTGTTTTTTTTTTTTTCAGATTAATCATGTGATGGACAGTATACCATTGTTTTAAGAAATTACTGCGTATTGATTTTTATGTTTCATTTTTCCTCTATGAAACGTTGCGGCAGTCTCTCAAAACAAAAAGAAAACGTAAATGGTCTCAATGTTTCAGGTATGTTTGTTGAAAACAAGCGGAGTTGGAAATACAAACATGTACAGTATGTCTTGTGGTCCTAAAACGGTGAGATTTCAAAAATGATAACAAATCGGTCAGCTTTTTATTTTGTAAATAAATTCAAGCCTTCGAAAAGTACTCTGGTAATGTCGTTGATAAAATGTATTTGACCTTGAAATAAATATTGACCTTTTAGATTTATTTACTTTAATACCCTATTTAAACAACGTACAACTATAATCGTATATTCGCTTTCATGAATAAACATTTTTCCAACAATATACATACATAGTCAACACATTGTTATAACATCTAATGTAAACGTGTTTTATAATTTTTGTTTATCATTATTATTTCTTTGATGTTGTGCAAATAAAGATTTTCAAATAATTATAGAGGCGGAAACCAATTATTTGTTCTTTTACAGCTAGAAATATTGACAACAAAATTAATTGATAAAGTACTAACAGTTTTACCTTACAGACATGCCCAAATGGACGAAAAAGAAACCGGAAGTACTCGGATGCGTTCGGAATGCAGTCACGTGATACCACAAACAGCGTTGTTTGCTGCGATTCAGATTTATGTAATAGTCCAGTTGCCGTTTCACCGGCAGTAACAACAACATCAACAGTAACAACAACAACATCTACAACAAGTCCCAAGTCAACTATTAAAACCGGTGTAAATGTCACTCAAAATACATACGGTAACACAATTTTATAATTTTGAGTAACTACGAATATATTTTTCGTTATTTGTAATTCAAGTCCACCTACACTCAGAGGCACTATAACCCAACACTTACATTTTTCTGTATAAATAGTTTATTTGTGGACGGATTTTATTCAAATTTGGACCATACAAAAATTCAACATATCATACTTACTACTAAGAATTATATTTACAATTCTTTGATAAGAAAATAGAGAAAACAACAAAACAAATATGCTACTGCTAAATCTGTATATTAACCAGTTCTTAAACTTTGTATGTCCTCCCAATTGGCAACGTAAACACCTCTGTCTCATAGTCCTCCATTCCTGAACAAGAGCTTGCTCGATTTCCACCAAATTGTAGAGGCTTCTGGTTGCTTTCTCCTATGCCTGTTCAATTCAGCCCTCAAGTGTGATGTTTAGATCTGGTGACTTGGGAGGCAAGAGTTGCTTGAACTCGAGCAAGCTCTTATTCAGGAATGGAGATATATTACCCAAGCTTTCATGAGAAACTACTCTCCATTTCCATGGCATGAGACTTGTGTTTACACGTTGTTGAAGCAATTGGGATGACACACAAAGTATTAGAATTGGTTAACATACAGATTTATTGAGATTCAGAGACTTTTCATTTTGTTCCGATATTTACAACCATTTTGTGATTTTTCATATTGCAGTAGCATATTTGTTTTGTTGTTTTCTCTATTTTCTTGTCAATGAATTGTAAATAAAATTCTAAGTAGTCAGTATGATTATGTTTAATTTTGTATGATCCAAAGTTTAATAAAACCCGTTCACAAATAACCAACTTATATTGAAAAAGTAAGTGTCGGGTTATAAGTTCCTCTGAGTGTAGTCGTTTCTGTTAAAGATGGATTCTCTTAGACGCACATCATGGCTCAGAAATCTATATTTGCAATTCTTTAGAAATGTCAAAAATGTGCTTAATAATGTTTAAATAATGCGTAAAACGCATATGAGATGTTTAACAACTGAAACAATAGCGCTGAAAATGCAGTTATGTGTCGTAATGGTAGCAAAATATAAACAAAAAAGTATTTTAACTTCCATACAAAATACCAATTCACTATATTATATTGTATTATATTATCATATTTAGTTGAAACATAATTATCTAAAGGCGCATTATGCCTCAGATATCCATATCTTTTTAATTCGTTAGAAATGTTAATCACGTATTTAATAATGATTAAATAAGAATAAATTTAGAGCATCTTTGATGTTTAACAACTGAAAAAAGTAACCCGGAATGTGTGGTAGTGTGTCGTAAAAGTACCAAAATGTATATAAAGTATATATAAAGGTTTTTACTGATACAAAATGCAAATATATCTATACAAAATTTGTTGGAGACTGTAACATGATGCCAAAAGAAAAAAAGGTCTTTAGAGAGAAAAAAAAAAGATTTCTAGAGCATAATGGGCCTTTAAGATCGATTGCAAAACAAATTCTTGCAACTCATCACTTTCGAGTCGTTTTTTCTGGAACCAACCAGTACTGGTGTCATATGAAGAAACATTGTCGTGACCCGAATAGGGCTCGAACCCATGAGGCAGATACCTTAACTATTCGGCCACCGCTCCCCTTTAAACTATTTATTTTCAAAGCACTCGATGTAAACAAACCCGATTCATAAAAAACCCTTATGTATTTCTTTATTACGGTTAAAGGGGGAATTATCATAAGGTAGACAAAAGTGCGGAAATGGGCCCTTATTTGGGGGAAATACAGTCTTTTTAACTAGTTAATATCAATCTTCTTTGGTACGAAAAACACGCTTTTGTTTTTGGGGGCTTTTTTTGGAATTTAGCCAAAGCGTTGGAACTTCGAATTTAACAACACAAAACTGTTGTTTAATGATTATGTCAAATTTTTTTTCCATTATAATAACTCAAATACAATTAATCCGGGCGATTGACTTTTAATTTTCGCTCGCCTAGCTCTATATTCCCCCCGTGCCTTTGGTGACTTAACGAGTGTTAATCTTTATGCCTGTTAAAGTGGCGTATCGTACTTGTATGTATGTATATGTAGTCTAGGCTTAATGAGGCTCCATCCGCCCTTTCAGGCACTGAGAGTACGGACCCCGAACATGTCACTATTCATGTCTTAAATGTTAGTATCAACGGAAAGGTGACCTCATAAATTTTTGAAGTTCAGTAATTCATGAATGCTTACTAATTTTGGGCATGCAATCGGGGGTTTTATGATGATTCATTGTATGCCGGAGGCCCAATGATACAATGAAAATAGATCATGAATATTCTATAAATACTTAAAACAGTCATTCATTGCATGTAGCAAGTAAATGTATACTTGAATTGTTAATATTTTTACTTAATCAAATTCTTAACTACTAACATTTTTCTCAAGAGTTGATATTTTTGGCTTGATCTATAGGCATGAAGCTTTAAGGAATATAACTTGTAGTCTGGACGGATAGTATTATTCTGAATCATTCATTTATCTGTTGTACTGAACATACATGTACATATGACTATAATTATGATTATTTAGTCACAGTTATTGATTTAAAGGGCATCAGTTTAATTGCATTTTGTCCTGTTGAAAAAAAGAATTAAACCCAAGTGCTCTATAGGCTGTAATGAAGTATAAACAATCTGTATTTTAAGGTGTATGTCTCGAGATGATCCAAAATATTTCAAAACAAATGCGCTAAGAGTTTAAGAAAACTAAAACTTTTCACAATTCAAAGAAACATATTGAAGTTATATGAATTTTTAATTCGTTTTTTTTTTGTTATTCGTCAAACTTTCCACACACAATCACGTATGTTACTGCGTGACTTAACGCTTCAGGACTATTTCTTGCATATCGTGGCCCTATTTTTGGTTTTAAATTTTCATTAGATTTAAGGGTTACGTATGCGATTGAATTGGAAAACTTATTTTTCTTATTCAATAAGACAACCCTTTAACTTTTTGATACATTTAAAAAAAATTTCATGGAAAATAAAGGCATTTTAATTATGAACATCCAATTGTCATATGAACGTTTTTTCTATTTACACATTTTAACAGCAAATGATAACTGAAAAATATGATATAGTGAACCCGGTTTTAACAAAAAAGGTGAAAAATTAGCTAGATCTAATTTAATAAGCTAACATATCCATAACCCTTTATTCCCATCATTTAAATGTTTTGCGGGATAACAAGCTCTGATTATCTATTCTATTTTTAAAGGGACTCCACTGAGGTTTTCGGACATGATATAACTGGAAATAATGTTTCGAGATTAACGATCCATTTGATATATATTTAAACAAGTAATCCCAGTTTGTTTGCAAACTTTCAAATCATTTCCTCGTTACGTTTCTCCAGTATAATTATTCTTATTGTTTGAAATGATCAAAAATTGAAAACCGTTCCAACGCTTTTCTCTCAAAACTGACTCAGGAAATTTCTTAATTAACCTTTGCATATCTTTCTGTTTTTAAAGTGCCCTTGTTGATCAACGTAGGACATTAAAATTTATATTTTATGCGTTTGGACCTCAGTTGAGTTCCTTTAAACACTCTTTTTATAAGATATAAACATTTATAGTTTGATGCTTATATTACAGTTATGCTGACAAAGCAAGTCTAATATCAGCTGTTAACTCTATATACGTCGACCATTGGGCTCTTTACGCAAACAACTTAGCAGCCGTAGAGTCTATTCTGCACTATTTTTATCAAGGCAACCGACCTTCTGTGCCGGATGTCGTCATTCTGATATCGGAAGGTCATTCGTTTCATTTCTTTAGTCAAAACAAAGAAGACGTAGCAATTCAATCGCTACATCAGATGAGTAATGACGTCATATCCGTTGCTATGGGAGGCGCCAACAAGAATGAACTGGGCCACATTTCCTCGGACAACAGCCATCTTATATATATCCCTGATTCTAATTATTCCATTCAGCATGGTGCCATGATTTTATCAAATTTGTTGAGTTTGATTTGTTCATAAGTAAAAGTAAGTGTGTATTTGCGACAATCTAGTTGATAATGTACATGTAAATATACTTTATTGTATAATAAATCTGTGATTGCCAAAAGCACCCGCTACTGTTTTCAATATAGAAATATATCTAAAAGCAGTTTTAAAACTTGACCACTATTTCATAGAATTCATTTAAACTTTGCATAGTATATCATAATAGAAACATTTTCAAGCCGGGGTCGACTATCTCGCTATAGTTACGTTCTATCTGCTTAAGAGATCTGTTTAAATGTTTATTTTATCATATTCTAATAAGATCCTAGCTGTAATGAAACAAAGAAGATAGATAAATATTGTATGAAACATGAAACAGTTTTCATTCTGTCTCGAAATAATTTTCTAGTATTTAATTAAAATCAGATTCCGAGAAGAACTTTTAAGTGTAAGCAATCATCTTGACAAATGTTTCATTTAAATCAAAGAATGTAGATCTAAAGCTTCTGTTGATATCCTCTTCCCCAAAATACATACTAACTAAGGTAATATTTATAACATTAACTGGCCAAAAGCCGGTCTAACATCAGTTTCACTTCCTGTATAAATCATAAGAGCTGAATATAAGAAGAGTTTTCATTGGTCATTGTTTAGAATAACAAAATGAAATCTGGGAATCTCATTGGCCATTCCAAAATATAATGAAAAGCATAGTTCTTGTCATTCTAAGATAGTTCTAAACTTAAATGTAAAGAAAAGTTCTTGTCATTATAAAATGAAATGTAAAGGATAGTTCAAAAATAAAATGTAAAGGATAGTTATTTGGGACAACAACAAAACAATATCATACTTTAACTAATTTTATTTTATAGTCATACATAGTGGCATATGTAATTTATCTCACTGAGTAATGTCTTAGTTTATCTTTGGCATTTTATGGGCACGACTCCATTAATAAAAGCCAAAAGGTTTGGATACCGGGCATACAAAACCTGTTTAGGGCAATCCATAGCAAAGCAAAACAATGACACAAAATCAAAACAAGCAAA